ATCAGCTGTGCAGTAAAAATCAATAACAGTTGACAGATTGGTACGCGTGTACGTGTAGTTACGGGCGAAATTTTGACTAGCTGATTGGAGAATTTTAAACCTTTTCTGTTCAAAAACTATAGCAGCCTCGACATTTTGAGGCAATAAGATTTTTGTCTTCAAATGATCTCAGGAATCTGCTATTAACGGGTGTTACCGTAAATCTAGAACACCTTGTATAATAATGTATATACATATATTTTTTAAAAGAAAAAATTTAATCCAATTAAAAAATTTAATATAAAAAAACTTGGCGTTGATACACTTTAAAATATTTTAAAATTAATGTAATATTATATAGAAGAATATAATATTACATAGAATATGAATTTTCGACATGTTATTCGATGTAGCAGCGCCAAAATTTTTCGCAATAAATATTTTTTTAGTTATATTAAATTTTTCCTTTTAAATACATATATACTAGTAAAATACACAAGTATTACACTTTATTAGCGATAGTACTTTTAATATCTAAATATATAATAAATATAATAATAAAAAATTTTAATTTTACAGTTTGTACAATTATCATTCATATAACAAATTTTTTTATAATTTTTATATGGAAAAGTTAATTTTATAGACATTAATATACATAAGTAAAATAGTACATTATTATTTTAAACTTACAGTTAGTTTTATAAAACTATAGAAAAGTTAGAATATACATAAGCTTTTTTCATAGATTTTTTATATTAGAATTAACTGCATTAACACTAATATATACTTTCATATAAAATATATTTTGTGTATATATTTTAATCGCCGGAACTCTTTTTAAATATTAAAAAATTGTAGAATTCTGCAGAAAAAAACTGGGCTAGAGTTTACTTTACGACCCCCGCGATATCGACTTGAAAGTTTTTTACATATAATATAGGGCGAATATAAATATAAAGCGGTAACTTGCGGAAACAAGTAGAAAAAAAAATTAAAAAAAAACGATTTTTTCGATACTATGCAGCATTTATCAACTAAAATCGACTATATATATAATATATATAATATATGTAATATATATAATATATATACAAGGTGTCTCATTTTATTTTTGACAGTCAAATATCTAAAAAAATATGGGAAATATGGAAAAATGTTTCAAACAAAAATTGTACGGTCTCAAGGGGGACAAATAATGGTAAAATTAATTTTCGAAAAAAAAAACAATTTTTCAAAGTCATATAAAGGTCATCGCTATTTTTTTAAATAAAATGTGGTATTTTCTATTAAAAAATCTAAAAGAGCGTTCAATTTTACGTAAAAAAAATACTAAGACATCTTTGATCTAAACTCATTATTTAAAGAGATATTTCATGAAAAAATATGTAGCTGAAATAATATCATATCATTTTTTCTTAAAGAGAACTATGTGTTTTTTTTATACCAATTGATTCCTCTCATTATTTTGTGCATAAAAGTGTTGAGGTAAGATAATTGAAAAATAAATATTTAACAAGATATTTCATAGTTTACATAAAATTATGTCAAATTAAAGTATAGAATATTTCGTAAACTATTCAATTTTTGGTCATTTTACTCTAATAACTTTTTACGCCGAATATTGCGAGAAATCGATTTATATAAAAAAATTAGGGTAGTTCTATTTTTTAAAAAATAAAGATGACCTTCAAATCTCCGAAGCGTCTCCACCTAAGGTCAAACTGATAAGATCAGTAAATAGATCTGTTTAAATTCTACAACTTTTATCTAAAACATTTTTTTGTAAAACTTATATTTTTCGAGATATTCTAGGGTTCCGGTACTTTTTATACGCCCTGTATATCTTTTTACATAATTATATAGTTGCGCAGAATATACGTTTGCTAAGAAAATCCGATTTACAAATATTTTTACACTTTTAGGGATAACGATAGATCTTCTTTGAACTGTGCTTCGATGCTTAAAGGCGGTTGGTGGTGGAAATCTTGTGGACGTGGTTTAAATGGCCTTTATTTAAACGATCCTCAAGATCTTACTGCGCGACAAGGTATGTTTATGATTTTCTAAAATAAATATATTTAAAGAAAATTTTATGTTGCTAGTTTACTAAAGTAAAGAGGGAATATTATTTAACATACACCTAGATGGAATTTGCCAATATCGAAAATACGGAGCAATATGTGCCCGATGTTGGCAAAAGTCGAATCCTTTGTCGTCTGGAGAAAGTTCGTTGTCGCGTATGCTCTTATCAGATGTAAAATAATCGGGAAATCTCAGGGGGTCTTAAAGCTAGCTTTATATCGTTTCAATATTAGTGATATTAAAAATTTAGTATTCTAAACTTATTATATCTTAATGTCAATTGCATACTAGTATCATAATAGTATCAAAACTTATGTAGCTAATATCAAGTCGACACTCCGCCGATTGTAAATCCTCAGCCGGGTAATTAATAGAAATCGAAAAATTAATGAAATATAGATATAGGCTCGTATTAAAACAATTAACAATAAAATAATACAGGATTTTGAGCTGACGCAAGATGTTTATTGCTCGTTATGCATTCTTCATCTTAATTAACATGAAACAGTTAGATGTTTCGGTTAATTTTTTACCATCTTCAGTAAACCTAACGATTGTTGTTCAATTTTCGATTGAGGTCAAGCTCTGAGAGACTGTGAGTATGTGATGTGAACTGCTGATATGTTGACTGTTCAGCAGACAGTAGATAACTGTGACTGTCTAGCTGTTTCACGATTAAAATAAAGAATATCTACAAGCAATAAATATTTTGCGTCGGCTTGAAATCTTCTATTATTTTGTTGTTAATCGAAAAGTTAAGTTCTTAACTTTTATCAACAAATAAAAATCATATTATTGTTAAAGGTATCGTATGGTTTCGCTGGAGAGGCTGGGATTATACCCTAAAACGTGCATCAATGATGATTAAACCGAAAGGTCCAGCAACAACGATGACAACAACAACGGTATAAACATTGAAACTGTGTAAAATCTCGTAGAATGTTAACTTAATTAAAATTTCTTGCAATTATTAAATAACAGTTTTGCACATAGTACATGAATTTATTGCAAATACATGATCATTATTATAGGCAATATTTTCTCAATTATATTTTATTTACTGCACCTTTAATTGAATTATTTTTAAAAAAAGATAGTGATT